TCTCTCTCTCTCTCTCTCTCTCTCTCTCTCTCTCTCTCTCTCTCTCTCTCCCCGATTGTTCAAATTGTCCCTTCTCGTGGTGAATATCAAAATCGACATTTTTGCATGTAATCTGGACTTTACGTCGTATTGCCGTAGCTAATAGTAAGCACCTAATAATAATAATGAGCATAATTATTATTATCATAATAATAATAATAATAATAATAAGGCCAAAACAAAATATAGGTGTGGTTACAGTTTCCCGACCGACCCTATTTATTCCCAGCGACCCTAAACATTTTAATTGTCAATTTTCTTTAAAGTAAAAAAAAAAAAAATGAATTGGTCAGTTCCTGCTAAAAGGCACAATGCACATCCTTCGGACATGGTTCGTAAATAAAATGTTTCAAGAAAATAAAATGTTTTCCCTACCTACCCACCCTATTTTTTTTCGGCATGTAACGGTAACCACGCATATTTTGTTTTGGCCTAATAACAATAATAATAACCATAATAATTATTATCATAATAATAACAATAATAATAATAACAATAATAACAAGCGTACATAACATCAAGCACTCCTACATGCCAATCGCGCGGAAAAACGATGCCGCGAACCGCCTCCCATCACGGCTTCCTCTCTCTTCCCGCAGAAGGGAAGACGCCGCCACGCAGGAGAAGCTGATCTCCGACCTACAGGAGGTCCTCAACGACCTCCAGTCGACGAACGACGCCAAGGAGAGGGCGCTGGCCGAGAGCGGCCGCAAGGTGGCGCTGCTGCAGCAGGAGGCGGGCGCGGCGGGCGGGGCGCTGCGGGAGGTCCGGCTGCTGGTGTCGGGGGAGGAGCGGCGGCGGGGGAGGAGGTTCCACGACGCGTCGTCGTCGCCCGCCGCCCCGCGGCAGTCTCCGGCCGCGCTGGTGCTCTCGCTGCGCGCGTGCATGCAGGAGCACGCGGACGACGTCAAGCGACTGGAAGCACAGGTGTCACAGGTGGGTGTCCTCCCCAGGTTTTACAGGTGGGTCTCCCTGGGTGTAACAGGTGCGTCCCCCCAGGTGTCTCGCAGGTGTGTCCCCAGGTGCATCCCCCCAGGTGTGTCGCAGGTGTGTCCCCAGGTGTGTTCCCAGGTGCGTCCCCCCAGGTGTCTCGCAGGTGTGTTCCCAGGTGCGTCCTCCCAGGTGTCTCGCAGGTGCATCCCCCCAGGTGTCTCGCAGATGTGTCCCCAGGTGTGTCCCCCCAGGTACAGCAGGTGGGTACTCACAGGTGTGAGAGTGCCGTGCGAGCTTCTGCAGTGATTCATGCAAGAATATCCTAAATAATGCGCGCTCGTGTGAGCTCACAGTGCACCCACCATTATAATGTGACACTCATCTTGCATTTGCCGTCAGCGCACACCTGATGTTCAAATATCTGAGCTGTTAATGCCATATAGTACACGTCGGAGCATAGGGGGCGTGGAAAGGTATGGATCGACTGTGGAATAGTAAAAATATCAGTCGGTAAGAGAAGCAACAGTTGGATATTGTTTGCTGGTTTTACCTAATAACTGTAGGATTGCTTGTCTCGTTAACATTCCTGTAGGACAATAGGCGGATGAATATATTACAGGTATATCTCCACTTCATCGTTTAGCAGTTTCGATGTGTTTTTTTCGTTTGTAATCGTACCGTGTGATTTCTCTGCCCTGTGCGCAGAGTCGTTGTTTTTCGGTGTGAATTTGGATGTTTTTCTGTTTGTATGGCCCGTGCATCAGAGCCCATGGTGCGTCTGTCTTCATGCTCGCAATATGAATAATTTAAGTGTGTTTTTCCTTCATTACTTTTATTATCATTACTTTTATTCATGTGGTTGACATGTTTTTTCAGTACAGTTTGAGATGTAATGGTAGTTTTTTTATCGTTTTTCACTGTACCATTGGTGATAAAAGCACATGTTTAACTTTTTTGAACATATTGATATTAGTATATAGCCTTATCATAAATGAGAATTGAAATTTTCTTTCTGTAAAATCCCCCGTTATAATCTCCCGTGAAATCACTATGTTTTACATTGTGTTTCCATGGAACCAATCAAATGACATTTTAATCTATACCGATATTTCTGCGTTATCTTATCTAGACACAGGAGGAAGTTGAAGACGTGAAAAGGAGCGCTCTGGAACACGAACAAAGGCAACACAGTGAAGGGAAGGCCAGGTAGAAATATACCTTTCTATATTTGCACTATATATATATATATATATATATATATTTGCACCTTTATATATTCACACTACATTACCATGAGCATCGGGAGTGAATGAAAACAAACGGTTGTTTTTTTGCTTTTTATTCACTCGCGTATATCCACGATAAAAAAGCATACGAACATTCTCACTCGTAGACATCGGGGGGTGCCATCGTGAGAAACGTCGCCAGTAGTTCCGGCCCCACGAGTCTAAATCTCTAGTAATTTTTCAAAGCGAAAGTTTCCGAAGCTTCGAAAAACAAAAAACGACATTTTAGACTCGCAACTTCTCGCGACCGTTCGCGGCGTTTTGCGACGACGGCGCCCCCTTCCTCCCCCCCGATCTTTTCCGTCGCCCCCGCTAAACACCTCCTCTCCCCCCGCGTTCTTCCCCGGCAACGCGAAGGTTGCAGAAGCTGGCTGCGGACCACGGCAGGCAGGTCGGCGCGGCGACGGAGCGTGCGGACAACGCGCGCAAGCAGGCGGCGAGCCTCCAGGCGCAGATGGGCGTCGCAGCGAAGCACCACCGAGAGGAGCTCGCGCGCAAGACGAAGGAGACCCTGGGCCTGAAGGAGAAGCTGTCGGAGAGGGAGAAGGCGCTCGCCTCGCTGAAGAAAGCCTGCGAGGAGAAGGTGGGTGCTGCGTCGCAGCCAAGACGACGTTGATTGGATACGTTAGCGAATAATTAATTTACTATTTAATTACTGTCTAATTACTTTTTAATATAGCTGAGACGAAATGACGTCGATTTGACACGTGAACGCATTTTTCGTAATTTGATTATTCGTTAGCGTATTTTTTAATTAAATTTACATAACATAATTTAATTTAAATACGTTAACGAATAATTAAATTACGGAAAACAAAATCTTGTCCAAGCTTGCGCAGTGACGAGGGTGGCAATTATGCGTTGGATGACGCGTATGATTGGATGACGTCGATTGGATACGTTAACGAATAATTAAATTACTCTTTAATTATTCTCTAATTTACTTCTCTAAAAATACAATCTCGTGCAAGCTCGCTCAGTAAAGAAGTCTAAAATGTCAAAAATTCTAAATAGTCTAAATAGTAAAGTCTAAATAGATCACGACGATCACATTTTAGACCCGATCTACTTGAGCCGATTCCGGCAACGGACTCCTGTAAACGGACGGCTGAGGAATGGAGATTGATGAACCTTCATAATAATAATAACAATAATAACAATCATAGCAATACTACTACTACTACAACTACTACTACTACTAATACTAATACTAATACTAATACTGCTACTACTACTACTACTACTACTACTACTACTACTAC